AGGCTGAGTAACACTCCCCTGTAATGCATCCAGGTCAGTTCCCTGAATGTGCTAATGTCCCTTTCTAGGTCAAATAAATATTTTGCAGTAGGTTTAAGCCAAAGACCCTGAGATAGGGAGGTTAGCTTGGATTATCCAGGTGGGCCCTAAATATGATCACTTACATCCTCATGATAGGGAGAGGTGAGCCTGGAGGAGGAGAGGGCAAGATGGCCACACAGGCAAAGGTCAGACTGAAGTGGCCACAGCCTCTGACTCTTTGATTTTGGCCCAGTGCAGCTAATTGTGGATTTCTGTCCTCTAGAACTACTGCAAGAGAAAAAAAATGGCTGTTTTTGTTTTAAAATCATACCAGTTTGTGGTATTTTGTTGTAGCAGCTGCAGAAAACTAATATACCTGTGACAAGCCATCTGGCATTTTTACCAGTGATAAGTACTATCATCTCTCACTTCCCAGTTTTGTTCCATGTAGAAGTGGGACACAGGAGATGTAGAGATGCCAGCAGTTGCGGTATCTAGGAGCCCACAGTGGGGGGGCCTCATGAAGCCCAAATGATGGCAGGATAGAGAAATGGCACCAGGAATGGGTAAATATGTAACATGTGAGCAGATCAGGGAGGTTGACCAGCAGGTAACAAGGTCCTAACCACAGAGTTTCAGAGACAAATGCTAGACCTCTAGAGCTGTGCTCAAATCCTGGCAGAGAACAATACTGGATGTAGAATATAGATGGAAAACCACCTATTCTGAGCTAAAGCTTGGCTCTACAACTTCCTAATTTAGACAATGAAGAAATCACTGGGCACAGGTAAAAGTATTCTTAGTTTTAAATACCTATAAATTATCTATCTATCTATCTATCTATCTATCTATCTATCTATCTATATCTATCATCTATCTATTGTAGCCTGGGTTGCTCAATGATTAAGAGAAATATTAGATATGAAAGATTAAGGATAATAGTTTCATGGTATACAAACACTGATATATCGATTGTTTAACAATGGAGGCACAAATATGGGGACAACATGGCAGTACAGATAGTATGATGTTATGTCACAAGATCATGCAATGAAACATCTTAAATTCCCCCAGCCTATGTTCAGTTGGATATCAAGTGGCATCAAACAATGTAGAGAAAGTATAATGTAAATAAGAAACCCACAAGAAACTGTCATTTGTCTAAGCAGAAGTAATTAAGAGGATCTTGGTCATTAGCTGGTAGTACTGCCCATAATTAACCTAGAATGATTTTTACATTTTCCTACATGCATTTTAGAATCACCTAAGCCTTACAACACTATCATCCCCATTTTACATGTGAGGGAAGGAATACCAAGCAAGTCTGTATGAGCTCATGCAGGCACTTGGTTTGGATTCTAACCCATGTTGGTTAATTCAAGACTTTTCTAAAAGTGGGAAAAAATAATGTTATCATCCTTCTTTGGCAAAAGCACATACTCTGCTCTTAGTTTACTTGTCAAGTAAGATATTCACTGTAGGTCAGGGAAATGTGTTTTGGAAATAATGACTGGCAACTTTTATTTACAATATGTATTTCTAGTCCCTCCAGTATGTTAAGGAGAGTCTGTTTATGCCCTTTCATTTCAGATATTTGTGGGTGGAGTTGTTGATGCTTATAAAGGACCCACAGCTTGTTGAGTGCTACCATAGACTGCTCAACTTTTTTCATTGCTTAACATGTGGCTGAATGTTTGCAGTGAACATCAATTCCTCTGAAATATCACGGGATGTAGACTCAAGGTTAAAAGCTATTATAAAATATTAGGCTTTAAATACAAATATGCACTGCAAGATCATTTTCACCTGTAGAAGCTTTCATTAGTAACCATGATCCTGATATGAAATCTACACTTTTCCTGCTAACTTGTACAACAGTGTAACAGTATACTGCTCAGTACCCACAACTCTGTATTGAGGTCAGCTTATTCTGCTGGCTCACCATGGCCATTTATAAGAGCAACAATCGGGTGAATAACACTTGGTAATCCAGGAAAAGATAAATTACAATTATAGGTCTCTTCTAAACAAGTGTAATGTTCCAGTCTATTCTACACAAATTCAATACAAGGTCACAAGTACATACATTATTCTTTTTATATTTACAAAGTGAATTCCTGCCACTTGTATGTGGCAAGAACAAGGTTAATTTAGTTCAAAGGTAAGCCTTAACAAACATGTCAGAGTATATGCTTCAAGCCATAATTGATATTTATTGTGAAGCTATGAATTAAAAGGCTTAATTTAGCTCCATGAAATTGCTATATTCTTCCCTAATGAAAAACATCAAACAAAATAAACAGAGGGGCAAAGTAGAAATAAAAGTTAGCTTAATATGCTGAATTTAAATCACTTAAAGTAGATGACTCTAAAAATTGACTAATTTTCTGTTACAAAGAGTTTCAGTTGAGACTGATTAATTCTTTGATGTTTTAAAAATGAATTAATTAGCATATTGATTTGGAATTGTTTTGGAAATCTATGTTCTCTGGGCTGTTATGGCTTGGGTCTGGAATGTTTCTCAAAGCTCGTGTGCTGAAAGATCTGTCTCTAATGTCACACTGCTTGGAGGTGGCAGGGGATTGGACCAGGAGCACTCTAACCTTGTCAATGGATTAATCTATTAATAGGTTCATAGTTCTGCAGGTTACCTGGAGGTGATGGAAAATAGGAGGTGGGGCCTATTTGGAGGATATAGTCCCTGAGGGCATGCCTTTGAAGGCTATATTTTGCCCTTGCCCATCTTCTTCTCTCTCTCTCTCTCTCTCTCTCTCTCTCTCTCTCTCTGTCTGTCTTTCTTCCTGGATATCATAAAGTGAACACTTTGGCTAACCACAGGTTCCTGTATATGACAGGCTCAGAAACAGTGGAACCAAGAGACCACGGATTGAAAACTCTGAACCCATGAGCAAAAATAAACCTTTCCTCATTTAAATTGTTTCTCTATGGTATTTTGTCACAGCAATGGAAAGCTGAGTAACACACAGGTATTTCATATTCGTTGGCTTTCTATATCACAGTTGATGAGTAGATCATGTAGGTACAGACTCATACAGCTTCCTAAGGACTTCTACTCTTCTAAGACCTTGTAGAAAACTGATATAATTTGATCTAAAATCTTCCCTCAAAAGGTGTATGTGTTCAGAGGTGGGACTTTTGATGAATGATTGGCTCATGAGAGTACTAACCACACCAATGGATTAACTTCTGATGAGTTCATTGGCTGAATGAGCTGCTAGAAGTTTAGGTCTCACTGAAGGAAGTAGGTCATTGGGAGGCACTGAAGGATGCACCTTTTCTCTGCTTGTCCTACTTTCTCTCTGCTTCCTGGCTGCTTGAGAGGAGCAGCTTTCTTCCTCCATGCCCTGCTGCCATGATGAACTTGCCTTGGAGCCCTCTGTCAAATAGGTGAAGCCCTACTGTCTCTTTTTGGGGAAATATTCAATTTCCCCAAATACAGTTGATCTAAAATGTATTCAGGTAACTAATTTCTAGCCTGAGAAATTTATTTCAAACTTCAGCCAAATTGACTGTTTTAATTATGGACAACTCAGTAGTTTAATAAACCTACTCTACAGCCCATTGCTCAAAGTCTTTGACAGCAGGAGTTGGAGAGAGTTTGGTCCAAAATGTAAATGGTACCATCTGTGTGACAACATCCACTCCAGCAGCAATGCTATTAAATTAATAGTAAAGTCTACAGGATAAGAAGGAGAGACCCAATCAGGTGGAACCAGATGAGAGTCTGTCTAAACTCCAGCAAAAAGAAACACACAACCAGTTCAGTCATGGTTCCCTTAGTCCATCCCTGCCCAAGAGCTGTGTCCAATTGCCCTGACTAAAGGAATTAAGAACCAAAAAAGGAAGGGAAAGAGTAAGAAGACATTAGTTCCCTAAGTATGAATATAAATAGGTTTCACACTAGTGAGTTTCAGTGTCCTGATTGTGTAAGGTCTGGCTGACAAATCTGGAGTAAAGTCAAACATTAGGATTAAAGACATAATATCTGAGAATGATTTCAGCTTTTCACAAAAAGGAAAGATATGAAATATATTTTAAAACAACAACAGGGCCCTGTGATACAGATGCACATGGTAGTTTAGAATTAACTAGAACTTCCATTATTTGAAGATTCTCTATCTACAGCTGCAATATTTACTACAGATAATTTTACATTACTTCAGATTTTACATCACAAATATTGAACAACATTTACTTTTTTATCCCAGGAAAAGTCTTCCATTTTCTCTCTGTATCATACAAATAGGTTGATTCTGGGATTTGAATTTTTGCCCTGGCTCATCCAAATAATTGACCACTGGGAAAACTAGGACATGCTTCAGAATATGTCCTTTTGGGTGACACTGTTTCCTGTAAGTTCTTCAAAGTTTTGTGACTACAGGGGTCACCCACAGAAAAGTGGTGTCTGTCAGGTCCGCAAGGCAGTGCCAGCCATTATTAAAATGCTTGCGTGCATCGCAGGCCTGGATTCTGCTCTGCTAGAAGGGACATTAATCCTCATCTTGTCGCTGTCCATCCAGCCACGGAGGCTGGGAGGAAAGCTGTGCGGCTGAGACTTTCTGAAGTGAGGTAACAATGACTCCGCATTTCTGCACCAAGATCATAAAGACCTACCAGGGCAGGGAAATTCGGGTTACAAAGCTTTAACTGCGGATAATTACAATGACTTACTAAAAAAAGGAAACATTTGCATCATAAGTCAAAAACACATCTGTGGTGCTATCCAGTAAGCCAAATCAGTTGTAAATAAAGATTGTCACACCTTTCAAAGTTACTTTGATTTCAGTCATCGGATATTATTCATACATTTATACCCGAATTTAACTGAGTAAAAGTACTCATGTAAATAATACCAAAAGTCTCAAAAGAATCCAAAGCAATTGAACACCAAATTTTCCTTCTTTCGTCTAAAACATATATTGTAATAAATAAGAATAAACATAAAGTTAAATGTTTACCTTTAGTTTGTATTTTCCTTTCAGGCTTTTCCTGCTTTTCAGTCTTTTCTTTGTGTATTTCTAAGGAAAAATAAAATGCAGAATTTAAAAACTTTTTGAATAAGTATAGAATTTAAACTATAACTATGACTTAAACTTTGTAATTCTGTGAAGTATAAAATTTTACATCTAGAGCTGGGAATTTAGTTTGGTGGTTCCGCCACCTGCCTTGCAAGCTCAAGAACCCGAAGTTCAATCCCTGGTACCAAAAAAAAAAAATTTATATCTAATAAGCACATTGATGTATAAAAGGAAAGAGTCTTTATAATATAGTTCTGCATAAAATCACTTATTTGTTGAGTTAAAGGAAACATTAAAGACAACTGAAAATTAGAGTTACTTGAAAAAGCTTAAAAATTTACATTGACAGAGCCATGTTGTCACCATTTTATATGCTAAAATTGATCCACAAACTAGAGTTATGTTTTGTTTCAATTATTCTCAATACACATTAAGAATCTTTAATAAGAATGCCGTATCGATTTATGAAGATTTAATTTTTACATATTAAATTAAGAATTTGTGAAATGAACCACAACCACTATCTAATAGGAAGTATATCTCAGAAGTATTGACTCAAAGCTATGTTTATAATCAGCAGTTAGCCCTGCATTTAACCAATAATTAATTCAAACAAATATGCCACATGTCATTAAATAAGTCAGTTGTACATTTTTTCTGGATATCAGGTTTTAACAAATATATTCAATTTTCTGCTAGCTTTAGTACACATATATTACCAAGTCTTACAAAATGAAGTTAATTCTGAATTTACAGTTAATTTCTATAGAAGCGAATTTGAGATTAAAGTTTACACTTATGATAACTACCTCTGAAAAGTGACTTCATCTTGAACATCATGGTTTTTCTTAGAAAATCCTAAGGAGGTTCACTTATTTATTTATCAAACTTTTTTCCACAGATGGTTGAGATGATACTAATTACTTACTGTACACATTTAAAACTTTCCATTCATAACTTTGCATTTGCATTTGTAACTTTTCCAGAAGTCTACTAAATCAAGACCAACTACAGGAAAACCCTGAATATCTTCGAAAGAGATACTTGCTGACCTTTCTTTTTGCATTACAGAAGTAGACAGCACAGGAAGATTTTCTTCCCTCTCCTTTGCCATTAATTCATCCTCACCATTAACACTGTCACCCCTTCGTGCTTATCCCAACCCAGCCTGAATGTGGCCAGAAAGAAACAGACGAGGTAAGGTGCTCTGACACAACTCTGAATACCTTCTCCAAGGTCTCGGCAAAGATCTCTGAGGCACAGGGAAACGTCTGTCTTCCACCTCTCACACTATTTTGTATATCTCTTTCATTCCTGCTACACGTTCTACTCTAAAACAGAGTTTCTCACACTGGTGCCTTTCGGGTGAGATAGACCATTATCTGCGGTGGGGCGCCCCTCCTCTGCACTCTCGGCTACCCAGCAGCATCCCCGTGCCTATGAGACAGACACCAGCAGGCCCTGTAACCCCTCTGCAGTCATGGCAACACCTTCAAATATTGCCAAGATCCCCTGCAGGACAAAATGAATCCTGGTTGAGATTCGCATCTCTAAAGCTGCACGATCACCAGTCTAATAACCTAGTAACTCTTTTCCAGCCTAGACTTATACAGTCCAGCGGAACGGGCCTTAGATACCAGCATTTTAAGCCCGTGATATGTAGTTATTCCAAACTGATGTGTACACACAGGAGTATGAAGATTTAGTATAAGTAAAGTGTGTGGCTAGTAAATTATAATCAATAACATTTGAAATTATATCGTTTGACTGTATTGATCATGATGGTGTTGTTGCCAGGTCAGCGTGGCCCGGGAATATCCCAAGTTGCTCAGAGGAACACCAGTTTAGGAGCCTCAGGGTAATCTGCAGACATAATAAAAATCCTCAGTCGGTCAGCCTCAAGTGGGAAGGTGATTTTTCATAATTAGGTAGGTTTGTCTGACCCCATGGGAGGGCCTTAAAAATAAGCTCGAGCTTTTCCAGGACAAGAGAAAAAAACTCTGGGGCAGAAAGCTTTGCTCTGTGTCCCGGTTTCAGACTTGCTTGACTGTCTGCAGACACACAAACAAGCTCCCAGTGATAGGATTCGTTGTTGTTGTTGTTGTTGTTTTGTTCTGTTTTTGCTTTTGTTCTTCTTGGTACTAGAGATGGAACCCAAGGCCCTCGCATTGAGCCATGTCTCAAGCCCATTTTTATTGTTATTTTGAGACAAGGACTTGCTAGGTTATGAAGTAGCCTGGCCTGGGCCCCAAATTGTGATTTTAACATGAAAATGAGTCGTCACTATCTCCTCTTGTTGAGCTTATACTGACATACTGGGTTAAATATTATTAAAATTAATTTTATATTTTTCTTTTTTAATGTGGCTTCTAGCAAACATCAAATTATATATGTGGATCATAATTACTACTAGACAATGCTGGTAGTCCGACAGGGAATAAGTAACCATTGGAAGACCTGAGGTCAATCATAGGGTTACATCTTTTATGAATGAACTGAAAGAACGAACTTGAACTTCCCCCTTGCCAACAACGTTCTGCTTCTTCCTTCCTATCCAGACCAACAGGCTTTGCAGAAGCTCAGTGCTTTGTATAACCCAGGGCCACATGGCAAGAAAAATGCCAAGGATTTACAGTAGCCCTTGGATAGGCTAAGGCAGTAGCCTTTCAGAGATCATTTCTTACTCCTGGTCAGCATGAATTTGAATATGGTGATGAGGTAAAATTTTCAAAATTAAAAAGTTACATGAAATGCTACATTCCTTGTGGTATGAGAAAGCCTTAAGATTTACGTATAAAATACACGTTTTCCTTTAGAAGCTGGTGTGTGCATTTGAGTGCATCTGTGTATTCCACTGACACCTGCTGGACATTCAAAAGAATAAAGAAGCAACCTTAGAAATCATACCGGAGGATCAGATGTGACCTAATCTTCTGAAAGATTTGGTGCTGGAAGCCATCTATGTGAATAATTTTGTCAGAGCCCCCAAGCTACCTTGGATCTGGGGAAATTTGGGCAGGATGATGGTGTGTGAGCAGTCTATCCAGGCCCTGTTGGTCTACACATGGGTTCCCCGAAAGCTAGGTGGAAACTTGTAGGTCAGAACAGACGGAGGCAGCGGGAGCATGAACTACTTTGGCTCCTCTAGCGCTGTGCACAAAGCTGCATCCCATTAAAGGGACTGGGGACTAAATTGTAGCCACAAATGAAATGAGTGGGGGTCCATTCCATGGGGGAAAAATAGTGAAGATACATCTCAAAAAGACTGGGATTTAGATCACTGATCAGGACTTATCCCCATCACTGAGTGTTGCTCTTCATTGCAGACTTTTTGAGGCAACCTAGGTGCCTATCAATGGATAAATGGATAAAGAAAATGTGGTGTGTGTGTATATATATATATATATATATATATATATATATATATATATATAAATATATAAATTATGCAGCTACAAAAAGAATGAAATCTTATCATTTTCAGCAAAACTCATGGACCTAGAAGACATTGTGTTAAATGACATAAGCTGAGATCCAGAAAGACAAGTACTACATATTCTCCATCATATGTGGAACCAAAAAATGTCAACCTGAAAAGTAGAACAGACATTATGGCAGATTGGGAAGGAGTGGACAGGGATAGAAAAAGAGTGAGTGGACACAATCCACGCATGTAGGAAATAGGCTGTGTCCTGTACATGTACCATCTTCACACAAGTAACGTGAACATTACGTACCATGAATATGTTCCAAAGCAGGAGAGAATCAACAGATAGGTGGAGAGGTGAGGGAGGAAAGGGAGAGGGCATTAGAAAAGAGAATTATGGTGTGTTATGTACATCTACTAACTCCCCACAAGGAATGTAAACAGTACGTACTGCACACACGCCCTAAAATAAATAAAGACGTAAATAAATAAATATTAAAAGGGAAGGACAGGGACCAAATGCATTCTCTGAATCTTTTTTGAATTTATGAAAGGGAAGGTAAATACTTGTATGTTGGCTGATACATTTCATGTTTTATCTAAGGAAAAATTTTTAGAAAACAACTGGTGGAGAATTAATATGAAAAATGACAATATATTTCAGAGAATTTTATTTTGTGCTCTGTGATAAACAGAGAAAACAGAGAGCCAGAACTCCATTTTCCAACCAATCAATGCTGTTTTTAATTTTCCTGACTCTTAGCCTTCCACTATGAAGGCCCACCACTCTAGGTAGGTTCACCAGTTTTCTTCCAACTTAGAACCGCAGACTGAAAAAAGATGCCCAGTAAAATCTCCACAGCTCACGGCAAACCAAAATAATGAAGCCTTGCATGAGCAGGGTGGTTTATTTTTGTTTCTATTTGCTTGTTCATTGCAGGAACATCATCAATTAAACTTTTACCAGAAAGTTCACTTTATCTCCATCAATATTTCTAGAGTGACAGCTGTGGGCAAACACAGCTAAACTCGCAAAGGTACCTCCTCATCTACAGCTATGGTTCTTTGCTTACAGAGGGCAAAGGAATTTATGATTCACACGTAAGGGGGAATTAAATATGCCTCTGTGTGCTTTATTGCTACACTGTGTTTTCTCTGGGGATTGGATTCACTGGTGTCGCTGCCCGTGGCTGTTCTGTCTCAGAAGGGTCCAACAAGGACTTCGCGCTCTGCATAATGTGCCAACGCTGTCCCCTCATGCTTTGCCAGGAAATGATGACCATTCTGCCTCCTGCCCAGCTGAGTAACAGCATGCTACCAATTTAGACTTCAGAAGGATATTTTCCTCCGGCACAGCGGATGCCGATTTGTTACTTTCAATTGCCCTTCCCAGCCAAGAACCTTTTGTATTTTTAGTAAATTAAATTCAAAGGATTGAAATTATTAAAGACAGACATATATTGCCCTATGGTTTTAAAAATACTTCAAAGAATAAAATTTCCTGTAGTATATAACTACTAGCATATTTAAGAATTTCCACAAAAATACGCATGCTTTTATTTTGTGTAACATA